CCGGCGCCGGTCCCGGGAGCCTCGCGGCGGCCGCTGCATCTCCAGGGCGCGAGGGGCGCCTCCCTCCGGCTTGGTCTCCGGGCCCGGGCCGCTCCGGGCACATTGCGCAGCCCAAGCCCTCCCTGGGCCGGCCGGCCTCCTCTCTCTCCACCTCCTCGGTCTCCAGACCGCGGCCGCCTGTGGCGCCGCTGCGCACTGCAGCCCCGGGCGGGCGGCCGCGCGACTGTGCCTGTGTGCAAAGACGCAGGGCCGCGGTCGTGCCGCACCAGGGCGGGGCCTCGGGCGAATGTGTGAGTGTGTGCGTGTGTGTGCGTGGATGCGGGTGCGCGGGGAGGCCGCGGTAGCCTCGGACTCTCCACGGGGGCTGCGTACAGTAGCGCGCGGCGGCGGCGGGGGCGCGCGGGCCAATTCCAGGAGCCCGCGGCCGCGAGCCGCGCCCTGGCTGATACCGGAAAGGCCTGTGATTGGCCGGCGGCCGCCCCTATGCAAACGAGCTGAGGGAATGGAATTCCTCAGGCCGGGCTTACAGTAAAAGCACGTTCATTTCCAGGCACTCTCATTCATAGAGCCAGCGGGCGCAGGCGGGACGGGCGCCCCGCGGCCAGACCCAGCCAGGGCACCACGCTGCCCGGCCTTGCGCCGGCAGGCACCTCTTCCTGGGACTCCTGGGGACGCCAGAAGAAAGTCAACCCTTGCTGCTTCTTCTTGACCTGCGTTGGAGCTACGATTTTTTTTTCTTTCTCTCTTTACTTTTGAATGAACTGGTTTCTTGGCTGGACGTTTCAACTTCTTTCCTGCCTGTGAACTTTTCCCCGGTTGTTTCCTTTGACAACTGCAGGAGAAAGTGTGCTGTGCTTCGAGGCGAGCCGTGAAGTTGCGTGTGCGTGGCAGTGTGCGTGGGAGTGTGACTGCGTGTGTAATTCGAGCCACCCCGTCTGTTTCGATCTGCGCTGCGGAGCCTCCTCTCAAGGCCCGCTCCACCTGCTGCGGTTACGCGGTGATCGTAGGTATAGGCGCGCCCGGGCATTTAACCGGCCGGCGCTGGGGCGACGTTGGAGGAAGATCATCTCGCTACTGCCCAAGTAGGGCTGACTCACCGAGTCGATGTAGACAGTGGCTGGCTTCGGAAGAGTGCGTGTCTGCGTGCGTGTGACTCGGCTGCTGCTCAACTCCCACCAACCACAGGATCAGCCACAAACTTAACCAACATCCCCAAAACCGAGTTCTCAGATGTGGAGAGCTGTACTTTGAGTGTCATCGACTTGGACTTTTTTTTTTTTTTAAAGATTAGCTTTTCTTTGAAAAGCTGAATTTTCTGAACTGAGCATTTCGCCAGAATTTATTAAGAGAACATGACAAGTATTTCTAGCCCAGCCCTTCTTCAACTACTGAAGCTTATTTTCAAGGCTACTTAAAAAAAAAAATCAGCAGCGAACATTAATGGATTTCTGTTGTGTTTAAATTCTCTACAGATTGAATTGTAAATATTTTATGAAGTAGAGCATATGTATATATTTATATATACGTGCACATACATTAGTAGCATGACCTTTGGAAGTCGCAGTTCTTGCTTTTGAGGACCGAAGCCAGTTTTGCATGATGAAAGTGGCTCTGTGTATGGAAGACACTCGTATATTTTGTGTTGTACTGGGACTTTAGACAAAACTCACCTAAAAAAAAAAAAAAAAAAAAAAACAGGCGATTTACTACTGGAACTTCCAAATTATGTATTTGCTGGTCCTTTTGCTCTCTGTATAAATATTTTAGGAAGTGTATGGGAATTTTGCCTCCGGGAATTTTTTTTTTTTTTTTTAACAGCCAAAAACTGAAGTTAAACTCTCAAAGCAAGACTCAGAAGACAGTCTCCCTCGGCATTTGACTTTGGATTCTAGTCGCCCAATTTTTAAAGCATTAAGCGGTCGGTTGCTAGGAGCCCTGCCGGGTCTGAGGCTGACCGGCATCACAGAACTTTCCCCCTCCTGGACTGTTAGTAACTTAGTCTCCCACCTCCCCCCAGTCCCCCTCCCCCCGCGCAGCAATAAAGGCCCCTGAACTTGTATGTTGGTCTCCCTGGAGCTACTCGCCGAAGATCCGCGCCCCTGTCGCCGTCTGGTAGGAGCTGTTTGCAGGGTCCTAACTCAATCGGCTTGTTGTGATGCGTATCCCCGTAGATGCCAGCACGAGCCGCCGCTTCACGCCGCCTTCCACCGCGCTGAGCCCGGGCAAGATGAGCGAGGCGCTGCCGCTGGGCGCCCCGGACGCCGGCGCCGCCCTGGCCGGCAAGCTGAGGAGCGGCGACCGCAGCATGGTGGAGGTGCTGGCCGACCACCCCGGCGAGCTGGTGCGCACCGACAGCCCCAACTTCCTCTGCTCCGTGCTGCCCACGCACTGGCGCTGCAACAAGACCCTGCCCATCGCTTTCAAGGTACTCGGCCCGGAGCGGGTGGCGGGAGGACGGGAGGACGGGAGGACCGGCGGAGGCCGGCGGAGGCCGGCGGAGGCCGGGGGCGATCCGGGAGGGCAGCGGCCAGGCGGGCGGGGCCGGGTTCTAGAAAGGGGCCGGCGCTGCCCCCCGCGGCCCCTGGTCCATCCTCCTGCTTTCGGGACACGGGGGATGCTGGGTTGCCCTGGCGATCCTCGGTGTGTGTGTGCGGGGGGGACCCGCAGGGGCTGCCTCTAGGGAGGACTGAAAACAATCTGGATGACCCCAGAGAGGTCCACTGAGGGCCGGTTGGGAGCTCCCCGACAGAGGTCCTTAGCTTTGCTACAAAGTAGAAAAAGTTATAAGCCAGCTCCGGCAAGCCTGTCTGCTCCCATGCTTCCCCCCCCCCCCCCCAGCCCCCACCCCCGAACTTGACACCCAAGCCATTCTGCCTCCCTCCGATGGAGGCATCAGGAAATAAAGATACTTTTATACTTTCGGGTCAGTGAAAATAAACTGACAAGGAAAACTGTCAGGGTTTCCTACCCCCACCCCCTCTTTAACAGTCCCATCGAAATTAGCATGTCTAAAGTCCACGGAGGGCGTAGTTAACTTTGCAAAAGTTTTCTGAAGAGTTTTTGCAGCTTCTAGTCTGCTCCTGCCAGAAGCCGCAAGTAGCGAATCCTGTTTCTTTTCCTGGAACCCTCCTGAACCTTATCTCTGGCTCACCTGGATTAAGCCCGGGGCCTGGAAGGGTGACAAGCCTGTCTTCTGCGAGTCGGGGTCTAACCCGCTCACAGCATTTTTGTCTGAGGAGGCGGGTGGAGTGGATCCCGCAACTTCAGATGAACAGCTCAAGGGGTCTTCGTTCACTTGAGCCCCTAATCTTTCCCTAGCTTTGAGCCGCCTTTAAAACCCTTGGCCTTCAACGGGGATATAGAAACAACGCTCGGCGTTTTAAAAAACCACCGCCTCCCCCACCCCCCTCGCACACACCCTGGTCCCAAAGAGTAGAAATTTAATTTCGGCGGTGGGGATTCTATTCTTCTGTCTTGAGGGGGTTTAGGAAGGGGCAACTTGTTAGTACAATCTGTAGTCATTTCCTGTTCATTGAAAGGACTGAGAAAGGCAGGTGGAGGGGGGAGCTGTAAAGATCAGCTACTCTTTCTTTTTAAGGTAATTGTGCCCTCTAAGGGGAGATTAATTTAATATAAGCTTTTTTAATGGTTCCAGGCCTTTACTGGATCTTGATCTAGTTACAATGGACAGTGTTCGCTTTTTTATAAAGTACTGTGGGAGTTCTTTAATTTTAGGCCTTATGCATCTTCCGAACTTACATTATGATTCCTAGAACAAAACAAAATGTGTCATTGGCTGTGTCTCTAGAAGCCCCTCACTGTTCTGAAAGCAGAAGGTTTTGAGGGGGAGGGAATGAGGAATGGGTTGAGCAGCCCAGCTGGACTCTTTCCCTGCTGTCCTTCATCTCTGTAGATTTGGGTTGGGAGTCCATTTCAATTTTAAATCGTTCTAATCTCTTTACCTAAACAGGCTCCTCTAACTAAAGGATAGGACTGAGTCCCCTCAGTGACAGGGGACTAGACAGGGCTCGGCCCTGGGGCCACTTTCAGATAAGAACAGAGGCAGGAGACAGGCTGATAATCATAATCGGCCAAAGGGTCATTTAAACCCGGTGCCCCTGACACACCAATGGAGTGGGTTCCAAGAGATCTGTGGCTTCCTTTGGGGGTAAATCAGGATCTCTCCTGGATGTCCCCTCCTCTGCCAGGAACCAACGCCCAAACATATCAAAACACTGAGTGATTAATAATCTTCAGGAGGTGAAGTGATGGAGTTTCTCAAGCCACCCCAAGAAAAGCATTATTTTTTTCCAAAAGACTGAAAAAAATCATATAACTTGCTTTTCTGAGCCATCAGGGAATTTTTTTTCAGTAGAAATCTTAGTAACCAAAGAGATTTCTTTTTCAAAATGATTTTTGACAATGCACTTAAAAAAAAAAAAATCGAATTTGTTTTACTGAGTAAGAGTTTGTTGTCTCCTAAATGACCAAAGCATAGTTCTCTTGAAAAAAGTTCAAGTGGGTCTTGAGAACATAGGGGGGAAAGGGAAGGACAGCGGAGAAATGAGGCCACTTGAGTAATATCTGTCACCACTCCGTCCCCATCAAGAGAGGCCTCTTCCTGAAGGAAGCCTGCTCCCTGCACCAACTGAAGGAGCTGACAGAATTTTCAGTGAGGGAACGAACCCAAAGGTTAGGCAGAAAAGCAAGTTAGCCTTCAAAACATGACTGTGCCCAGGTTGATTGCTTCCGTAACCCTGGCCCCACTCCTCACTTAGCCACCTACCCGCCTCCCAAACAGTTTCTACAGAAATTATGACTTCAAAATGTGGATTTCAAATAAGCCCAATCTTTTTAAGTAGTTAATCAGTAAAAATGGTTATATTCCCTGTAATAAGGAGGAGAAAATGTGAAACAGTGATAAAATCTGATGATATGGTTGAACAGAGCATTTAAGTGATTCTTTCCTAGTCTCTGAAATCCTGTGTGTAAATCCCCTGCTTGAATCTTTGAAACTAAATGGAGACTTCAAATTATGAATTTTCCTTCAAATAGATTAAAATCTTCCTATTTGCTTATCCTGGACCCCAAAATATACCCCGCCTTCATTTTTCCCATGGAACACCTTTATTTTTGTAGCGTAGAAAAGAGACCTATTTTACTACTGGGAAAATCTTAAATTTGCTACGTGTTACCCACCATTTCCAGAAGCAACCTAAAGAGCTATGTAGATGACTTAGAACATATATATATTTTTTTTAAATACTGCAATATTACAGTTTGTTTAGGCCCCCGTACACCAGGGTCCAAAGGCATAAACATGCCATCAGCAAGTTCAGAGGTTTCAGATGCTAATAGTCATATTCTTTCCATAAGAAAGCAGTAAGTAGTGTTTCTATCGGCAAGATTCAGTCCCTAGGTATGCATTAAATGTCATCTTGGCTGAATTCTGGGTTCCACTCCACAGCTTTCTTTGAAACTCTGGAAAATTAAAGCATTTAAAATAAATGAATTGTAACTGTAATTTCAACCTAATTAGAGTTGTTTGAAATGCCATTTTGAACTGGGAACAGGCTAGCCAATAGCAGTGTGAGGAGACCCATGCAGTACATAGGAGGGTTGATGTTTTGCCCAACTTCCTGATACTTTAAAAACAGAGAAGTAAAACAAAATATGAGATATCCTTTGGCCAGCAAGTCCCTTCTTGTCTGTTTGGTCTGTGTTAAAATGTAAATGTTTGTGTTTCCTTACCTATTGTTTATAGCTTTTCATTCCAGTTCCTTCTTTTTTTTCTGTTTGAAGTTAGATTTTTTTTATGCTCTTCTCATTGTCTATCAGTGGGACAATCTGTATCAAATTAGCAGACATGTTAGTTTTAATTTTTTTAATTTTTTAATCTATTCTAAGTGTGCTTGTTAACAATTAGATGATATATACGCTATTAGTGTAATTTAATATTCTTCCCTTTCTTCCCTGCCAAAAAAAAAAGAAAAGAAAAAAAATCCCTGGGAGATCAATAAAAAAACAAAAAGAATGATCTTCGAGCACACACATATCTTCGATTTTTGCTGCTTTTTTTTTTTTTAGAAAGGGAGGGGTAGGAAGGGTTCAACTGCTAATTTTGTTAGTCTTAAATTCCAGCATCAACAACCTTTTCATATTTAGCCACCATGATCATTTTACTCTATATTTGTTTCTACTTGGTGAAGGTCTCGTGAGTTTGCCAAATTACTGACAAGGATAGTTTTGGAAAGATGAGAGAGGAACAGGCGTGGAGCACCGTGACGGGAGCCAATGGGAGGAAGGTGCTTTAGCATACATTTTGGAAGATAGACAACAAGATTTACTTATTTTAACCTCTTCACAGATTCTGCCCCAACAATGAGTTATTCAGTTTGAAAACCACATAGTTAAGTATACAGCCCCTGTATACTTACTAAATGTTGGATTAAAATAGAAAAGCCAGGCCATCACAGGGAGATGGGGATGAGGAAGTAAAAATATGTGTTTAAGGAGGGCATTTCAACACTGTGAGCTAATTTTACAGAAGGAAGTGAAAATAGTGAGAAAAATAAAGTGGAAAAATTTTTCAGAGACTGAAAAAAGCAGACTAGAGCAAGACCATTTTGTGGGAATAGAAAAAAAAAAAGGTAAAATATGTAAATAACTGATCGGGGAGATTTATTTCAATGATGTTTTCGAAACAAAAGAGAATTGTCGTATTACTGCTCTTAATTAAAAGGCAACAAACACACTTATAATGGGAACTAAATATCTAATTAGAGGGTGCTTGGGGAGTAAATATCTGTGTTTTTAAATCTCCTTCATAGAAAACATGCCCAGCGTTGGGATGGAAAGGATTAGAAAGAAAGATAAAAGGCCCAGACGGTGCTCCACGGAGCAAGGGGGATAAGACAGATGAAGAACTTGCCTACCTATTGCTGTGTGGGCTCGTTCTCCTGGTCCCCTAGTCCCTTGTGGTGAGATGGCTGGTCCTCCCTGTCATACTCCTCAGAATCCCAGAGCTGAAGCATCACAAGGAATAAAAGCAGTAGGTGGTCACCTGGATGACACGGGGAGGGGGTAATGGCCAAGCAGGCAATGAAGATGGGCATTTCGAGAAACAATGGCTTTGCTATCATACACGGGAGCCTATTGCAGCCTTATTTACAGACAGAAAAAGGGGATTGAAAATATAGGTATTACTCCCAAAATTATGTAGTGATGATTAGGTAAAACGGAAGAATAATCACTGGAGAATTCATTACTGTTACAACTCAAATACAGAAAGAAGAAAGTGATTATATAATTGGAATGATTAACACAGAATTCACTACTGACTGAGAAAGTACCATGAGGAATATCAGAAATGATAGGAATAGGAACAATTTGGGGCATTTTGATTTGAAATCCTATGACCACTTTAAAAAATAGAAACAATGGAAATATAGGTAATAATAATTGTCTAGCTCCCAAAAAAACATTTCTAGAAGAGTCAAATGATGGCCAAGAAATAGATACAACTGTACAAACCATCTTTATGGCATCCTCCTTAGAGCATTTTACCTTGAAATTATAGCTTTTTTATTGCCTGAATATCAGAAATATTTATCCACCAGTTTTCTCCAGCAGCCCTGTTAGGAAATCCATTCCTATTCAATTACATTAAAGGAATTCTTCTTGAAGATCAGCTGGGTTTGGGGAAAACCTCAGTCATCTATCAGGACATAGTTGGCGTATCTAGGGGACCCACAGGTACAAAAATGCCACGTAGTTCGACTCCTGAATTCAGAGCAGCACATAAAAGTGAGTTCCCCTCTTCTCTGAGGTCTGTTGATTTTGCAGTTGGTAATGAGCAAAGGGTAGATTTCTCATTTTTTTCCTTGCATGCTAGAATTCCCAGCTACTGATAATCAATATCAGAGAAGCAAGTAGGGGGTCTCAACGATGAACTGCAAAGGGAGAGTCATTCAAGAATCATCAGTAATTCAGTTGTAAAGATCGAATTTAATTTTAGCAGAAATAAGTTTAAACACCTAAAAGCAAAGTGAGCCCTGTGAGGCCTGTCAGTGGACGTCTGGATGAGCAAGAGATGGATCAGGTTATAAACTTACAAAAACAAGACACTGCATTTCTCAGATATTAAGATGATTGCATTCATGAAAAGGCATAGCTTTAAAAGCCCTTGCTGTAGTCAGTCTTGTCCCAACTGCACCATGTAACCTTAGATGGCTTTATTAGGTGAATGTTTTAGGACTCCAAAATTTGTATTTAGTTCTGCATAATGGAATTCAAAGAGATTCTTCCCATTAATAACTTTCCTGTTGTTTTGCTATTCCTTTGCATCTGGGTGGCACAGTCGGGTTGAGCGTCCGACTCTAGATTTCAGTTCAGGTCGTGATCTCAGGGTCTCGAGATGGAGCCCCATTATGGGCTTTGCGCTCAGATCAGAATCTGCTTGAGATTCACTCCCTCTTCCTGTCCCTCTGCCCCTCCCCCTGCTCTCTTGTGCACACTCTGTCTCTAAAATAAGTAAATAAATCTTTTTTTAAAAGAAGGATCACTTAATATATATTTAATTTTAAAATAATTAATACACCAGTGGCATAAAAGTTTACAACATTTCTGATGTCTGCATCTGTCCCTTGGTTGGTGTTTAGGTGGTGGCTCTGGGGGATGTCCCCGATGGCACTCTGGTCACTGTGATGGCGGGCAACGATGAAAATTACTCAGCTGAACTGAGAAATGCCACCGCAGCCATGAAAAACCAAGTTGCGAGATTCAATGACCTCAGGTTTGTCGGTCGGAGTGGAAGAGGTATGTATCTGTCAAAACTAAAATGGGAGTGCAGAGTCTTACATGGCAACAAATCCAAATTTCAAAACTTCTAGAAGTGTCTGTGATGTCCTAGAAGTGTCTGTGATGGGATCCCTGGAAGCACAGTCTTTCTTGTTGATATTGCTACTTCAAGCTTTTAAAAAAATATGGATTTAAAATGTAGTATCTTTTCAAGAATCTACCTTTACGTTGTTGCCTTCTATTATTGAATTAGTTTAAGACTGATTTGGAACATGGAATGAATTGTGAATTTCAAGGAAATCCCTCCCATCTTTACTAAAACGTAAAAATATAAAACTCACCATCATGGAAACTAAGATTATATAACTGGTATTCTCCACTTGATAATATCAAAAATGTATATCAGGGAAGTCTTTAACTTAGAATCCATGTGCTATCTATGACAAGGGACAGAGTTTCAAATGATCACATTTTAACGGATATACAGTATATGGTTATTGAAATGTGGTCTCAAGTAAGTTTACCATTTTATGATAAAATATGAAGAGACAGTGATAGTACCATTCTGGTTTGGCAAGTGTGGTGGCGCATTTATGACTTTCCTGTCGCATGTAATTTGGATGCCTTCTTATTATTTGGGGGAGGGGTCAGACCCAGTTAACATTTTAGTACCGATCTGTTAAAGACTGGATTACCCAAAGGAACTGTTGCGTCAGGGCAGTTCTGTGTGGTTTTATTTTTCTATGCCTGTTACTAAAGCATTAGAGCAGAGAGAGGAATTTTGGCTCGTAATCTCCTCTGGTTTCCAGTTATTTTCAAATATCATGTTTTTGCTGTATTGTTAAGAACTGAAGTCGTATTGGGGCGCCTGGGTGGCTCAGTTGGTTAAGCGACTGCCTTAGGCTCAGGTCATGATCCTGGAGTCCCGGGATCGAGTCCCGCATCGGACTCCCTGCTCGGCGGGGAGTCTGCTTCTCCCTCTGATCCTCTCCCTCTCATGCTCTCTGTCTCCCATTCTCTCTCTCAGATAAATTAAAAAAAAAAAAAAAAAAAACTGAAGTCGTATTTTATAAATAGCAATAAGTACTAGAAGTTTAATGGAAGGAGGAAGGATAGTTTGTTTTGAAAATCTCATTTTCATAATATAGTATTGAATAAGCTAATGAATAAAAGTTATTTTGAATATAATTTAAAAAAGACATGATAAATACATAAACAGCAGTAGATGACTCTTGTATTAAAAAAATTTAAAGTATATTTAAAGTATAACCAGTGGACAGTTAAACATAAGAGTAATCATACTCTTTATAAAGGCATTCAAAAATACAAGAAAATCTGTGATTAGTCGAAGAGAGGAAGGGATGGGGTAAAGGTGTGTTGCTCTTTTGGGTCTTCAGTTTTGCTATCTTAGCTGCCCGAAGCATTTTTAAAATAGAATCCTAGGTGGAGAAAATTAAAAAAAAAAAAAACTTACAACATGATTGAAAATATATGTTCATAATACTAACTATGTTAATAATAGGGTAATGCAAAGAAAATTATATCAACTTATTGAGAGCAGGAGAGATGCTATAACATATGAAAGCATAAAGTCATTAAACGAGTTCACTTGTTATATTAAAAGTCCCCGCCTTTCGGTAAATGGAATTCACATTATGATTCAGAGATGTGTGTTTGGAAAACATCGTGAAGGCTTCAGATGAGTAGCTGGTAGAGTAGGTGAGAAGCCAATAAAACACAAAGGCCTATTGCCTGGCCCCTGCCTACCAGCCTAGCTAACAACCTCGGTTCAATTCTCGGGGATTTATACCATCAGGGACGATGGTTGAGGTGCCTTGGGTTGCCCTTCCAGGGAAAGCTGTGCATCGATGTGGGTCCCCGTGTCAGGTTTTGGTTTTAAAAGTTTGGGAAACGTGAACGGATCGTGCCTGTGACACTTTCCCATGAGAAGAGCCGTGGTGGCCTTGGGGCCGTGTGCAGTAAGTTGGTGAAAATAAAGAATGGGATTTTGAAAGCAGCGTGCTTCCTTTTCTGGCATTGAGGGCTGGTCTCTGGTCCCTCATTGGCCATTTCTGTTTTGAGTGGGTGACTAATAGAGGTGCCTTGTGTTTACTTGGGTAACAGTGAACTGTTTCCCCAAGGTGTGGATTGTTTGCAGTTGGCTGCCTGATTCATGCCAGTATGCCCTAGAGTTTGCATAAAACCCAAAGAGTAAAATAGCTACAACCAAGGCTGGGCTGTCTTCGGATAACCTGGAACAAAAAAAAATCGATGAAAATGCCATAAACGGACAATATCTGTTTTGAACGGGCTTGGCTTCCCAGGAGTGATCATAAGCAATCCCAAATACAGGAACCCTAATTCCGTGTTTGACCCAATTCTGGTTACCCTGTGTATTATTGGTCTTTAGTGGGTTGTTTTTCTGTTTGTTTGTGGGGGTTTTTGTTTGTTTGTTTGGGTTTTTTTTTTGGTCAATACTACAAAACAAAATGAGCTGTCAAAAGTCCCCGTTTGACTTTGTCTCGTGATCTCTCTCCAGTCATAAAATACAACTTGATTTTACTCTCTCGAGTGTAAGTGTCAACAGCAAAGCCTGCCAGATTTTTTTTTTCTTTTTGCAATTTGCTTCCCATTACGAAGAGAACAGATGATTCTCACTAATTTTGACAATTAGCCTTAATCTTCCTCACTGAAACTTGTCCTTTAAAAGTTTCATTACGTTTTATGAAGCGATTGTAAGGCTATTTACTGTTTCATTTTCTGTTTTTGAAAATGTGCCTAAAAACACGTCATTGGCATAAACATGCCACCGTGGCCGAGAAGGTCCTGGCTGTTGGCTCATCCAAACATTTCAATGCCAGGTTCACATTCTGTCAAACAGCACCCATCCGAGGGTTTCTCAAAAGGGCTTGGTTCTCAGTTCTAAATGGAGGGCAGAGAAAGAAAACTCCCTTTTCTTTTACCAGCTGCCAGTCCGTGGGGTTTGGAAAACCTCACAGAAATTGCCAGAGGTTGGACGTGGAAGGGTTTTTCTCTGGTCGACAGAACTGATTTGTCTGAGTGCTGGCTCTTATCCAGGATCACAACTTATAACCTCAAGTTCAGCCTGCAACCGGGAAAACCTGCCCGTCCGGCTTTGAGGGCCTTGCTGACAACATTGGCCCCTAAAAAATGTTGGTGAAGCCTTCAGTAGTCTGAACCGTCTTCCTTCTTCCCCTTCCCTACTTTTTCTCCTGGCCAATTTAAATCCCGTGCAGGGGATACGTCCCCCTTGGGCTTTGCTCCCTTCGATTCAGGGTCTCCATAGAAATGGACTCTGCCTTTACAGGGGATGAGAGGAGATGCAGAGCACACAGGTGGTTGCTCAGAACCTTTCGCACTTAACCACAGGTTCTGAAGAACCGTCCCTCACTCCCAGAAAATTGAAGTTCAGGATCAAAAGGAGTTTCTCCTTGGCGAGGTTAATTAGCAGTAGCTTACGTCGGTTGACATCAACAGTCGAGACAGGTTATCACTGGTATTTTCAGTGACAAGAAAGCGTATCGTGGCTGCCGCTGAGAGACACTGAAGAAATTTTAGCAGTGAGATCTGTGAGTGCTTCCGCCACTGTTGTAGTACATAATCAGTTGGAAAGGAATCCATCAATCAGGGAATACGGCTTTAGTTAATTCATTTTAGAACCAAAGAGGAAATCTACCAGACCGTATCATCAACCACATCATAAAGGGGGGAAGAGAATCCAGTGCAAATTTCCTCCTAATTCCTAAGAATATGATTTTTTAATCTTTTGGGAACATCATAGATAATTGTGAAAATCCTTTGGAAGCCTTCTCCCAAGGGGGGGGGGAAATATGCATGTGCTCTTCTACCCAGAGTTTCATGCACAGTTCCAGTTTCCAGGACTGTTGAGGCTCATTTGTGGACCTTCTGGGGATCCACGGGCCCCAAGCCAAGCGTCTGTGAATTTGGAACTTTGTCTTGACCATGGAGGGCCAGCCTCACACCGGGCTGCACAGAGTAGATAACTGGAATATGAATAAATGAACAGACGAGGTGGACATTCTTCTTGCACCCTGTGTGTTTTGGTAACACCTGTTTTTATTATAGCCAGGACCTGGTTTGTATAATTAGGAAAATAGATCCCATTCAAACTGCTGGTCCAAACTTCCCGTAGGTCATCAGGTATGCACACATGCACACAAAGGGGAAGGAGCCCATTTTATTATAGCCTCTTGCCCAGTGAATGCCTAAGCTCTCCCTTCCCCCCTTTACCTCTCCCTCTCCCCTGACCCCTGCAGCGTGCAGTGTGAATTCCACACTCAGCCCCTTGAGGTCTGGGAGTTCTCCTGTCTGTTAGAATGGGGTTTAATTCCTTGGAGGAATTTCTGTTTATGTTGACCTCCCTGGCAACTTAAATCTCCCCCCACTTTCAAAATAGTACCCTTTCCCAGTGCTTTTATAAAATGAAATTCCTTCATTATATTCTTGCTATGGATGTCTTCTCAGACATAATATTTACCCTGTCACAATCTGGGTTATTGCATATTTGCGTAATGTTTGTTACTTAAGGCAGTTTCATTCTTACAGTATTTTGCATTATTTGAGGAACAGTATGGGGAGGTTGCTTTCAGACGAGTGAAAGACCACGGCTGAGATGAAAGGAAGGTCCATTTAAACTGTCCTGGTATCCTACACGAAAAGAGACGTGTCTTTATGGAGCGGTTGTTACTAAGAAATGGTCGGAATGACTCACAATATTATCATAGGATCCAAGGCATTCTCCCCTCCATCCCAGAGTCCCAGAAAGAGGGGTAGGAAAAATTTATCTGACAACCCCAGAGTTGTTCCACGGGCAACATTCAAGATAATAAGCTGGCAATCAGATCTCCTGGAGAGAATACAAGAAAAAGGCGTGATTAAAAACAACAACAAAAGACCCAGCTTCTGAGACACCAAGCTCCAGGCAGCCCTAGCAAATAATTCCTTTAGATGGCAGGTCGAAAGCTGGTGTCCCGGAT